CCCCAAAACCCCAAAACCCCAAAACCCCGTTAATAAAGATTATGAAGGCATTCTGGTAAATCACTAATAATAAAATAATGTTAAGAAGATATTTAACCTCAAGATACCTCTAAGTTCTATCCTAGAGTAGACCTTTTACCACTCATTCAAGTGGTTAAAATCCCAAATCACAGTCTCAGTAATCTGATTCTTCTCATAAAAAAGACTAAAAAGGCTCGTAGAATGTCTCAGATTCAAGTCAGCATTCTAAGAATTAATCTCAAGGTTCAGGCCAGAATATTTCAGGCTAGCAATAGGCACAGTAGAAGCAGGGTTCCCAGTCGTCAGCTTCAACTTAGCAGTAAAAGAGCGGATCCTCTAATCAAGACTCTAATCAATCTTAATCATCCTCCTCTCAGAACCTGAACAAGAACATGGGGCTAGATCAAAATCAGAGTCAGAGATCTGGTCAAGACGCGGGATCAGGATCAAGTTCAAATATAAAGGATATGAAGAATAATCCTGACTTCGCTAAAAAAGAACAAGATTCTACCTAGAATTTACAGTAAATTTAACTCATTAACACTAATTAATTTTATTTTAATAGGCAATAGAGAAGTGGTAAAGATCAAGATAAATCATCACAATCAACACAGGCCCAGGCATCTCAATCATAGTAATAGATGAGTGGTTCGCAATATGACCAGAATAATAAAGATCAAGATAAGTATAAGTTTTCTGGCTAGTCCTAGAGTTCTTCGAGTGGCGCTGGAACAGATTAAACTAAAAAGGACATTTCTTCTCAGAACGTTCAAGATTCAAAACAAAAAGACACAGGCAGATCAGACCAGCAGTCATCATCTACTTAATAGAAGTCAGGTAAGCTTGGAGAGTTCGGGGGCACTACAGGCTATGGAGGAAGCTCAGGATTCGGAGACGCAAATGAATTCTAACAAAAGACTATGGATTCTAGCATGAAACAACCTGGTGTTTAACCAATTGGAAAAGATACTACATCTCAGAAATCTTAATCAACTGGTACTACTTCTGGTTAGCAGGAGAAGAATAAGATCACAATGGATTAGTAATTCATAGATTAGCTCTAGAAGAAGGAGAAACAAAAGCAGTCTGAGACTCAAAAAGATTATTACGAGACTAAGCATAAAGAATAGGTCGCGGGTCAATCTTAGCAGAAATCAACTACAACTGGATCTCAATCTGGCAAACCATAAAAATGAATAGACTTTGAGCGGTTTTCCTTTCTTACCTGAAATTCAGTCTCTGTTTTTAAGATGAGTGTGTTGTTTAAGTAACTCATCATTAAAAACTAGAGAATTTAAATTTTGGTTAAGATCGGTGAATTTTACTACATTCAGGATTTAAAAAAATTATATTTAATTTATACTTTTGCCTATTAATTAATAGGAAATATGGGGTTTTGGGGTTTTGGGG